AAGCTGCAGCTGGAAGCCCGGCGCAAGCCATAAACCCTAGAGCGTAGGGCGTGCTGCTGTTTTTAATTAAGTGTAGCCTGTACTTTAAACACACCCAACCCTAAACCCCGCATAAATGCAGGCTCTAAGCCTAAAACAGAACACAAAACGTCAACCCTAACCAACCTACACCCCAAACCCTTCCTAAGCCCTTGTCGACTCGAAGCCTTTTTCCTTTTAACTTTTAACCCTAAACCCTTTTTACAGCAGGCCTCGTACACAGAAACCCCAAACCCTAAACCCCACACCTATCCTGGACCAGGTGGGGGCCTGCGGAGCACCTGACCATTTGCGGTCAGGCGCTCCGGAGGCCGCCCCCAAGGGTCCATGGTCCAGGATGACCCCCCCCAAACCCCCTCCCGTGGGTGAGGTGTGGGGTGTTGTGGGGTTTTGGGGTGTATAGGGTTTAAAGTCAAAAGTTATAAGGCTTCGAGTCGACAATAGCTTAGGGAAGGTTTGGGGGGTAGGTTGGGTGACGGTCTATGTTCTGCTTCAAGCTTAGTGCCTGCATTTAGGCGGGGTTTAGGGTTGAGAGTAAGGTTTAAAGTATTCAGCACGGGTTAAGGTTAATAGGAAACAGGAACACGCCCTATTATAGGGTTTATGGCTTGCATATGTCTTGCGTACGCCAGCCCCCTGACCATATAAAGGCGTCCTTAGCCTGGCAACCGATGCGACGCTTCGCCAGTATGACGACTAATCCCTATGCCGCGGGCTGGATTTCAGAAGGGTGCCAAGTTTTACGCTCTCGACACCCAAACACAGCACAGAGTGCGCCAAGTTTGGCTTCCCAAAGTTGGCTTGCGCTGCAACTCGCTCATTGCATCCAAAGCCTGAACCCCTCGCCTGTATGCCCGCACGATGACATCACATCCGAATGAAACCACAAGCCCTTTGAATAGCAGGACTGCCTAAAGCAGGGATGTACAGACATTCCTTTGCTGATGACGGGTACGGTAGGGCCCCTGGTTGCGATGGTCCGCAAGACCGATAACATCACTTCGGATAATGCCGATAATCCCAGAGCCCTGAAGTTCCAAAAACGCCTTTGTCGAAACCGTCACAAGCAATAAGCTGGTTGTCATAAACACTTGTAGCACTTGCGCCAGGGCATTTCGCCTTATACAGGGCAACGAAGCCTGACCTGAAAGCAACTTGCCAAGCAAAGGCATAGCACAACTAGCTGGCACTGCCCGTCATCCTGACACCCTTGCGAAGACTTGCCGAGACTCTACAAGCCTGAACACCTGATTTCAATGTGGTAAGGATTGTACACATCATGTCCGAAACCACCCCCATCAAGCCTTGAGCACACTAACAACGACGCCTTGGGATCCCTGACCGCACTATACCCTGGCAGCGCCTGGACACGTGAAACGGAAACCATGAGCAAGCCCGTCTCGTTGCCCCCACGGGGCAGCCACAGATTCTGCGTGTCTACTTCGATTCCTGGGCGAACAAGGCCAAGCCCGGCCTAGAACCTTACGGTATTATTATGTGCTTTGACAAAAGGAGCTCCTTAAAGCTCAGATTCAAAGAGCAGACATCAGGACACGACGTAACTACATCCTGGGGAATCCTCTAGGTTGACCATCACGCACGACACATCATGGTCCATAATTCCTCGTCGACATATCTTGGAATTTTGGGGCACCCGAGCACACGATATATCGAAAGCTCGAGTCGCAAAGCCCAGTTCTGAACCCAATTCATTCAAGCATTTAACTCGGAAACCTCGCAATGCCACGACCGAGCAATTGGAATCCACCATATATCGAACGCAAGCAAACGACCCAATTTAGCATGCAAAATTACAAAGTGCTCAACCGCTCTCAAGCTGAAATCGAAAGCTGTCCCAATACTATTGCTACCTGCTACCTGGATATAGTTTCAAGAATTGGCAGTTTCACATTGTATACCAAGTGAGCTGCGGTGCCCGTGAAAGCTAAGCCGGGCCGGATCTGGTCTTTTCGCGAGACAGACGTAAACTTCAAGCCGACAAAAACCGGGAAGCAAAGTTACCAACAAAGGCGGCTACCATACTATGCATGGTTGTATATGACAAGGACAGTGATCTTCTGCCTTTAAGTGGCCTTCGGGGGTATAAGCCCTAACCTTGTAGGAGAAACCACTCAACTACTCCTTGAAGGCCAGGTGCTTTTGCTCCAAAATCGCCTGCGGGGCAACTGGAAATCGCGGCCTTCCGTAGGGAAGTCCGATCCTCAGTTCCCACTGCTGAGGAGAAGACTCGGCCAATGCGATCACTCCTCTACTGACTCTATACTGGTGAGGAGTAAGGGGCACAAAGCCGGAAGCCTCTAAGGCTTTCTAGGTCGGTATAAGCGAGAATTGCAGGTTGGAGCCAACATGGGACTAGCATGTCTCTGTGTTGTGCCATGTTGCACCATATGCAAACTCGTCAGATGACAATCTGTCAGTACAGGCAATCTGGGCTGATTTCGCGCTGCCAAACACGTTCAAGCATCGACTTGCTTGTCTTTACTGTGAAGTGCACTGCGCACCCGTGACGCGGCTTCTTCCTCATGCCATTTGAGTTCATGATACGTCGGTGCTTACAGCTACTGTTGCTAAGACTACGAAAGATAGTAACATCGGCGATGACAACGAATTGTTGCGCAGTTGCGCCTGCTGGAACTGCTACCACTGCCAGAACTTGCATTATACTTTCACAGGCATCTGCACTGCCGCCTCCTCTGTACCAGCGCCACGACAGCAACAATGTCGCAGTAGTAGTAGTAGTAGTAGTAGTAGTAGTAGTAGTACTAGTAATAGTAGTAGTAGTAGTAGTAGTAGTAGTAGTCGTGGTGGTGGTCGTCGTGGTGGTGGTGGTGGTGGTGGTGGGTAGTAGTGGTGGTGGTGGTAGTAGTAATAGTAGGAGGAGCAGTAGCAGTAGTAGTACCACTACGATGACGACCACGACGACGACGACGACCACGACGACCACGACGACTACCACTACTACTACTAAGCAGCAGCAGCAGCAGCGGCAGCAGCAGCAGCAGCGCTGCTGCTGCTTAGTAGTAGTAGTAGTCGTCGTCGTCGCAGTCGTAGTGGTAGTAGTAGTGCTGGTAGAAGCGGTAGTGGTGGTAGTAATAATTGTACTAGTGGTCGTCAAGTAGTACTACTACTACTACTACTACTACTACTAACAACAACAACACCACCATTATTACTACCGCCATTACTGCAGCCACTGCTACTCCTACTCCTACTCCTCCTGCTCCTGCTGCCGCTATTGCTACTTTACTTCTACTGCTGCTGATACGGCTTCTGCGGCCGCTACTACTGCTACTGCTGCAGCTACTGCTTGATACGGCTGCTGCCGCTACCGCTGCCACTGCTGCAGCTGCTGCTCCTGCTGCTACTACTACCACCACCTCCCACCTCTGATACACTCAACTTTCTATGATCGCTGCTCGTGGTAAAGCTTGTGCTACTGCTAGTGCTGCTTACTGCTACTAGTGCTACTAGTACTACAAGTACCACAAGTACTACAAGTGCTACAAGCAGTACAACTAGTACAACCACCAGTGCTACTCGTACTACTCGTACAACCAGTTCTTCTAGCACACTGTTAAGACGAGGGTGCCAACGACGACGACTACGATAGTGCTAGTGCTAGCGCTGGTGCCAGGACTAGGCTAGGACTAGGACTGGTGCCAGAAGAACGACTACCATCACAACCACCATTACTGCACAGCACCCGTTTCCGTCAAAGGCACGGGCGATCTCCACCAGATACCCGAAGTCCTGCATCCCAATGGTTTTGCGACGGTGGTTACTGCGGGCCTTTCGCGGTCCCTTCACAGCTTGGTTTGTAAGAGGGTGGCCCCACTAAATCGAGGGAGCTCATGAGCCATGCGAGATGTAAATGCTATACATTCACATGCCGCCAGCCGCCGCGGCTGTGAACTGGTGGGGAAAGGCAAAGAACGTTTCACGTGGTCACATCTCGGACACAGGAGCACGCATGCCCTGCAAAACGCAGCACAAATTAGGCGACTCAAAGCTCAAGCTCAGAGACTCTTCCACACCCACATCAAGACTAGAGTAGAGGGACGTGATCATCCACATCTTCACACACTGATGTCATGGTAATTACTCCCCTCACAAATTCACTAACTCCGTGCAGTGGCGCCCATGCTCAGACACTTCAACAGCTGGAGGGTTACTGCAATCTGTGAAGCTTATAAACCTAGTCTGACAACTCTTACCTAGACCATACCCAAGTTGCTGCGATGGCTGGCAAACACGAAGATCCAAAACTGATGTGGCGCCACCCGTGCGATCCTAAGCCAAACCCATGGCCCGACCTTGTTCGACACGCGGATCAGCTCAAAGATGGTCTCGACGTAGAAAGATAATATCCGAGCGAGGGTCCGCACCTTGTTGTAGTAGCTTGAAGTTCTCTTGGGTGCGCTTGTTCTGGCAAGGGACAAGCCCGACAAACCTCCTAAACCCGGGAAATGCGATGCTATCATCTTCATGGGGTTTTGTTACAATTGTGGACTGGCACGGAATATTCTCCTGCTGCGAGGTTGAAAACAAAAACTCCCAACCTAAAAGCCTACATACTCTGAATCTTCGATTTTCAATGGTCTGGGACCCTCGGGTCTCAGGCGACTCCAGCGAGGCAAACCTCGGGGCCATGAAAGGTCAGCTTCCCTGTCCCTAAATCGCGACACCCTTGCACCCCCAAACCGAGAACGGCCCTGTAACAGAACCAAGAAAATGTATCTTGGGCTTCTGAGCTTAAAATATCGGCTTTTAGGCTCAAACTCTACAGCACCAGAAACATCAAAGCCTCGCATCTCATGCAGTCCCAACAGCGGATCTGTGACAGTAGCAATAAAAGTTCCCGTTGAGGTTTAGGACTGCCAAGAAACCATGATGATGCACTGTCGCATCTGCGCTGCGATTTTTCGGCTGCAGCTGACCACTCATCGCTTATGACCGGCGCGCAATGCCTCCATCATCTCATCTGAGGTCATACACCATCGATCCACGCGGTCTTGTGTCAAGTTCTTTGCAACCCATTCGTGCATGTCACCGCATAGCTTCTCGCCTTTTCTGGCAAAGGAATTTCGGAAAGGTTCCAGCGATCGATGCTCCTCTCCGTGACATACGAGATCTGACCGCAACAAATACACATCGTAGCATGGCTCCACGTACAGCACGGAGTAACCTCGAGATTTGGCAACCTTCGCTATGGCCGTAACCGATGCCCCTTCAATGTTGTACTTGATATGCCCCAGCTCGCTTCTGTGCTCAGGGAACGTTTCTTCCGGAGACACACCCGATGTACAGTTCAGCACGCGGTCCACATCCAGTGGATCATGGCGATTCATCTCAATCTGGACAACACGTGGTCGGAACCGTGTCTCAGGCGCCACGAGGGCGGCAAAGATCCACAAGTCACATGTGTCTGTGTCAATAGAAACAAAGTCCAAATCTGATGGCACCCTATACCTGTTGAAGACTGCCCCGATGTTCGAAGCAGTTATGTGCTGCCTGAACAGTCCACTCTCCGGCTGATGGTAGAAGCGATCGAATCTCACACCGCCCCAACCCGCCTGCCGTAAATACTCCGTATTGCTGTCCTGCACTCCATGATAGCCAAACTCCACATAGAAAGGCGGTCCTGTCTTGCGTGGTGGCAAGGCATACGAAGGAGAGAGGAAAAGGAAGTGCAAAATGGAGTCCTGGTATTGCTGAGAGTGCCACCTCCACTTAGCGAATCGCCGCAATGGCTCAAGCAGTTTCATTGGCGACACGCAAATCGCACGGTCTTTTTGGGCTGGGCGTCGGGTAACTCTCTTCTTAATTCTTGCGCAGGTCACGGGACACCAATGCTGTAACACTTCCGAGCAAGACTCGTTCGTTACTTTCCTCTGCCTTTGAACAGCAGGGCAGTCGACGGACCCGTTTGTTCTTCCCATGGGATTCCTAATCAGGAGTGTATCCACAAGACGGTCATGCATGTGTGTGCAAGGCTCTCTTGCGCAGCGGTTGTAATTACTGACTGCGTGTGGTGGCAGGCATCGAGCGTGTGTATCGTGCCTCTTCGCATAGGATGCATGCAGCCGCTGGTACCTTGTCAAACCATCGGCCCAAAGCACGGTGATGTAAGCATCTTGCCGGCCGGGTCCATCTGCTACGGTTGCATTGCGCCAACAAGACAGCTTTTCCGGTGTGCATCCCCGGCCTCCGCGATATGCCAGGACGCGTTTTCCCAGTGGACAGTTTCTGTGCAGGTCCGCTGGCTTTGGCATTTGCAGCTGCATCTTGAGGAAGGAATCATAGTTGGCAGCATTCAGGAGGCTCTGCATGTGGAGCTCGCAAGTCTATGGACAGTGCCACGTACTTTCTTACTTTAACACGTCACCTAGGCCACGTGTGTTTGGGTGATTGGCTTGAGGTATATTGACTTTCTGCATTGTCAGCTCGTTTGTGATCTGCACGAGTAGTACAACCTGAGTATACCTGAGTGACTTGCTGCTAGCTGACTAGTGCGGGCCGTCCGATCAGCCTTAATATCTGTGGTGCTCGGGCCCAAAGCCACTACATCACTACAGTGTGCAGCCTACGCGAATCATCAAACTGAGAGAGGCTGCAACACGCAGGCAAGATGGGTTCCGAGTCAACGTGATGCGGCTGTGTGGGTGTGTTGTACCTGCGTGCTTGCGTTACAATGTCTTCTTGTGGGCTGACAAGCATTGCATGGCATTGCTGTTTAGATGCTTGGTGCTTCACTTCGGCATCTGTTAGTACAGCAAAACACAACATGTTGAACGTTTGCCTCATTCTCTGTACTTCTCCCGCCACGACCCTCTACAATGAATGCTAGCCTTTGGGGAGTTGGCCGCACCCTGTGACCACAACACTTGTAACAACGATGGTGCCAATGTCAATGTCAGTATGCATGTACAAGAGCAGTCATGGTCACAACACCTATGCTAACCAGGGTGCTCCGATTTCTCAGGAGCTGAAACCAAGCGAAGGAAATGGCTAGAGTCTTGAGATGCGTAGAGTGGTTTTCGTGGTTGTAATCATGTCCGGCACATGCTATACTATGAGCACTCAACAGGTGCAGCACAGGACTTCGGCCTTCTGGCGGAGAGTCTATACGATCCCGGTTCGGCCGCCCCCGCCTCCCCCTCCCCCAACCCTCCCCGGCCCACAGTTGGTACCCCCTCAAACCTGCGGTTTTGCGATTCTCCCCCTTCCCCGCTGTGATGTGGCTGCGTGCCACCCCCTCCCCCCCCCCGCCCTCCCCCCCTGCGCCTGGTGTGTGGTGTGGTTGCGCCCGCGGCCCGGCCCCTACTGCGCAGCAGCGACATCAGGGGCATCATCATCATCATCATGATCTCCTGACGCGCCCTGCGGTCTAGAGTGGTTCAGGGTTTCGGTCTGGGGGTGCTCCCCTCCCCTCCTGTGGTGTGTTCTGGTTCGGGCTTGGGTCTGCAAGGGTTACGGTGTGGTGTAGTGCGGGGTATGCATCTTCATCATGAGCATCCTCCTGTTCCTCGCTTGGGTCAACAGTCGCAAGAGGCACGCCTTTCAGGAACTCGATTCTCGTGACAGTTGCACTTTAATACCCTCAGGACTCAATGTCCGAGTCGTGAATGGAAAGTGTTATCACGAGGACTTGGGTGTGTTTGGGACGAGAGGTGTGATGTGGTTCGCGGTTGGGCTCCCCCTGGGGTGTTTGGCAATAATCATGTTCATCACCATGGCCATCATCATCATGATCATCATCATCATCATCAAACATCATTATCATCAGTGTCAGAGTCACCATCATCATCATCATCATCAGCGGTTCGGGGTTTCGGTCTGCTTGGTGTGCCTCGCCTCCCCTCCTGTGGTGTGTTCTGGTTCGGGCTTGGGTCTGCGAGGGTTACGGTGTGGTGTAGTTCGGGGTATGCCATCATCATGAGCATCCTCTGTTGCTCGCTTGGTCAACAGTCGCAGGAACCACGCCTGTCAGGAACTCGATTCTCGTGACAGTGTCACTTTAATACCCTTGGCACTTCAATACCCCCAGGACTCAATGTCGGAGTCGTGATTGGAAAGTGTTGTCACCAGGACGAGAGGTGTGATGTGGCTCGCGTTTGGGCTCCCCCTGGGGTGTTTGGCAATAATCATGTTCATCACCATGGCCATCATAATCATCATCACACTCACATCATCATCACATCTTCACATCATCCACATCATCATCATCATCATCAGAGCCATCATCACCATCATCATCATCATCGGTTCGGGGTTTGGGTTTACTTGGTGTGCCTCCACTCCCCTTCTGTGGTGTGTTCTGGTTCGGGCTTGGGTCTGCGAGGGTTGCGGTGTGGTGTCTCCACATGGTGCGGTGTAGCTTGGCATGCCTCACCATCATGCTAATCATCCTGCATCGTCCTGTCCCGACAGTTGATGCGCGGGCCCCTTTAATTTGGGCCTCTTTAATGCGTTTTTTTCCTTGTTCAAGCCGAGACCAAAAAAATGACCGGCTCAAATAATGCGTTTTTTTTTTTTTGGG